ACTGTCGAAACCTTCTTGTTTGAACTGTGTAGTTTATACGGCCCATTTTCTTCCTGAACAGATCCTTTATATTGTAAGGTGTTCGAGACTAATGACTTCAGCAGTAGGTGAGGCCAGTTTTTAGTGAGAGGTTAATTCCTTTTATTAAAATTGGTTTTCATTCTAATTTCTGATTTATATGTAATTATACTTTTTGGGGCGTATGGTTTTTCAAAGCATATGTGTAATGTGTAATAATCAAATCAAATGTTTAAACATATATTCACTGTATTCATTCATATTTAACATTACATTATGTTGTATGCCTTGAAAATTCACTTTACTGTTTATTTTTTCAAAGTATATGCTAAATTAGCAGGATGTTCTTTATTGTAATACACTTTTCTTTAACTATTCTACTTGTTCACTTGCACTCTGGTGACCATTAACTAGTTTCTCTCCTTACACCCACCCCCTCCAGCTTCTAGTACCTGCCGTTACTGTTCTCTTCCTCCATGCCATCTAGTCTTTTAGATTCCACTGACTGAGGACACTCAGAGTTAGACAGTATTTGTCTTTCATAGTCTAACTTACTTCACTTAGCGTTGTATCTCCTTAGTTCATCAAGTTTGTCACAAGTGACAGGAATTCACTATTGTTTATGGCTAAGTAGTATTCCACTGTATATATGTACCACATTTTATTTATCCATTTATTGTTTGTTGGGAACTTAAGTTGACTCCTTGTTTTAGCTATTGTGGACAATGCTGCAATAAACATGAATGCGCAAATGTCTCTCCAAACAGTGATTTCCTGTCCTTTGGGTATCCTAATAATGGGATTACTGGTTTCGGAGATAGTTCTCTTTTGGTTTTCTGGTTTTGTTTTGTTTTGTTAAGAGGACATGTGTGCTCTCCAGAGAGAGAAAAAAACACTCTCCAGTGGCACATGGTCACATCACAATCCCTTTTCCTCTATCTCTGCTTCCTGTCAAGATTTTGAGCACACACACATGCACCTGCCATGTTTCTCAATCCACCAGGTCTGGGAATCAAACCGCACAGTTAGCTATGTGGGATCCAGCTACCTTAACTAGCCCTTGGAGCTGGCCCTATTTTTAGATTTTTTGAGGAACCTCCATACTGTTTTCTGCAGTGGTTATCCTGGTTTACATTTCCACTAACAATGTACAAGAATTCCTTTTCCAGGGCCAATAGGTGGCCTGGTGGTTAAAACACTGAACTCTCACATGGCTGACTGCCGTTCAAATCCTGGACCTTGTGGCTTGCTTTCTCACTTTTCTTCTCTCTTTTTCTGTCTCTGGTGAGTGCACGCACCCTATAGCAAATTAAACAATAAATAAAATTACATAATTATTTTTTTAAATCATTAAAGTTGACCATAAACTTCCATTTCTAACAAAATGAGAACTGTTGGAATCTGTTGGTTCGTCGGAAAAGTCGTGACATGTTTTTCTATACAAAAATGCATTGTGACTTTTCCAACAATCCAATAGATAACCTTTTTTCTTTTTAGAGATTTTTTAATAGTGCGCCTGCACTTGCTGGAGAGACAGAGACAGCAAGCGAGAAATCACCCCCCATGGGGATGGCCACACCACAATCCTTTCTTTTCCATTTTCCTCTCTGGATTTTGGGTAGCCATGCACACAAATCCGGCATGAATTTTAAGTTGCTGGGTCTGGGACTCAAACCATGGCTGACTACATGGGAGTCCAGCGATATAACCATTGCACCATCTGCTGGTTCACTCATTTTAGAGGTTTTCTTTGCCTTAGGCTGCATGCAGTCACCAGAGGGAGAGACAGAGACACTGAGAGGGAAAGTGAGAAATCACCCCAAGTGGATGATGGCCACACTGCAATCCATTGTCTTCCATTCTCCTCCCATGATCTTGAATGTGCATGCACATGTACCCAGCATGAGTTTCAAGCCACCAGGCCCAAAGCTTAAACTTCAGTCAACCATGGGGCAGTCCAGTGACGTAACCACGACACCATCTGCTGGCCCCATGTTTTTTAGTAATACCCATTCTGGCTGAGTTATAGTGACACCTCATCATGGTTTTGATTTGTATTTCCCTTATGATTAGAGATCTTTAACATTTTTTCATATGATTTTTGGCCTTTTCTTCCTTTGAGAGATGTTCATTCAGGTTGGTTGGCAGTTTTTTAACTGGATTATTGATTGAGGGAGGGCAGGCAAGCTTGTTTAAGTTCTTTATATATCGTGGTTATCAATCCCTTATCTGAAGTTTGGTTAAAAATATTTTCTCCCATTCTGTGATTTGTCTCTTTATTCTTTCGGCTGTTTCTTATGCTGTGCAGAAGCCTTTAGCTTGAATTAATCCCACTTGTCTGTTTTGTCAATGTTATCTGTGCTTTAGGGATTGCAAGAAATCTTTGCCTAAATCAATATCTTGAAGTGTTTCCCCTGTACTTTATTCAAGTAGTTTTATGTTTTGGGGATCTACTTTTAGTTCTTTCATCCATTTTGAGTTAATTTTTATAAATAGCAAAAAATAAGGATCCAGTTTCATTATTTTGCAAATTAATACTCCGTTTTCCCAGCACTGTTTATTGACGAGACTGTCTTTTCCCCACTGAATTGTCTTAGGACGTTTGTCAGAAGTCAGTTGGCTCTATGTTCTTGGGTTTATATCTGGATTCTCATTCTGTTCCATTCGTCTGTGTGTTTATTTTTGTGCCAGTACCATGCTGTTTTGGTGGTTATGACTTTTGGTGGTTTCGAGGACAGAGTGATGCCTTCAACTTGACTCTTTTTTGCTTAGTATTACTTTGGCAATATGAGGTTTGTTGTGATTCCAAACGAATTTTACAATTTTTTTTTCTGTTTCTCTGAAGACTGTTACTAGTATTTTGATAAGAATTATATTGAATTTGCAGATCACTTCATTAGTACTAGCATTTTTTTAAAGAATTATTTATTTATTTTATTGTAATTTGACCAGAGAGGGAGAGTGAGAAAGAGAGAGGAAGAGAGAGAAGGAGAGAAAGCAAGACACCAGGTCCAGGACTTGAACTACTGTTGGCCATGTGAGAGTCCAGTGCTTTTACTACCACACCACCTGCTGGCTCCAGTATTGGCATTTCAACTATGTTGATTCTTCCAGGAATAAGGGATGTCTTTCCTTGTTTTAATCATTTTTTTAGTGTTTTTGCTTAATTTTTATAGCTTTTGTTATAGAAATCATTCACCTTAGTTAAATTTATCCTTAGATAATTTATTTGTATGTGTGTTAGGGATGGAAGTGTTGTAAATGAGATTACTTTCTTCTGTCTGAGTTCATTCATTGTTAGTCAACAAAAACATTGATGGTTTTTGTATGCTGATTCTGTGTCCTGCAACTTTATCAAGTTCATTTATCACATTCAAGAGTTTTAGTTGATAAATTCTTTAGATTTTTCTATGTATATGATCACATCATCTAGAAATACAGTTTAACTTCTTTCTTTCCAATTTGAGTGAAATGCCCGATTGCATTGGCTAGGACTTCCAGTACTGTGTTGAATATGACTGGAGAAAGTACACATTAAAAGCTAAATCTTAAAATCGCCTTAGCTAAGGTGGTCAAAAAGAATTTTTACTTGCCATTTACTTCACATAGTCATGGACGAATATATTTACCTAATCTTATTATTTCTGTATTTAAACATTCTTAGCAGTTTTCTGTAGATATTATAGTGGAAATTAGTTGTCTTCTGGTTAATGTCATAGATAGTAAATATGTATTGAATAAACGTTGCACCTCATTTTTATTTTTTAGATTTTTTCCCCCATAGAGCACGTGCACTCGCCAGAGAGAGACAGAGACAGAAAGAGAGGGAAAGTTAGAAATCAACTCCCAGGGGGATGATCATGCCACAATCCCTTCTCCTCCACTCTGCTCTTGGAATTTTGGACACACCCTCACAATTGCCCAGTGTGTATGCTAGACCACAGATCTAGGACTTGAATTGCAGATCAACCATGTGGAGCCCAATGCCTGATCCAACACACCACATGCTGGCCCTGTACCTCATTTTAATTAAGTCTAAAATTAAGGTTTCTTCTCACTTGCAAAAGGGAGCTTAAATTTTATTTAGCACAATATAGATACTTTTCTAGATTCATATGACACTTCATGAAATGTTTATTTTTATCCATTCATTCAACAAATACATATTCATTACTTAGTGGTGGGTTTGGTACAAGATACGCAGCAATGAATAAGGTCCACCACCTGCCTTTGATGGGCTCATAGTGTATTATTTTTTTTAATGTATTGAAATTCTTCTACAAATAATATTACCCGCCATTTATTGTGTGCCAAGTAATGCGTTAAACATTTTGAGTGCACAATCTTGTTTAATTCTTCCAATAATCCCTATGGAAGAAGTGGTCTTAAATATCCTTTCTTACAAATGACGAAACTGAAGTGAGACACTAGCTTAGTGGCACATCTGAGTAGTAAGGGGCAAAGCCAGGATATAAACTCAGACCTGTCTGACTGCAGACCTCCTCTACTTTGTCTTCTACTAGCCTTGAACCTTTGCCATTATATTTAGGTGCCTCTTTTTTTTTTTTAACTTATTTATTTATATTAACTTGACCAGAGAGGGACAGATAGAGAGAGAGAGGGAAAGTGAGAAAACAAGCCACCAGGTCTGGGACTCCAATCATGACTGGCCATGTGGGACTCCAGCTCCCTCAACCACTATGCCACTTGGCAGCCCCTTAGGTGCCTTTTTTATTTATTTTTTTAAAGAATTATTTAATTTTATTTATTCATTCATTTATTTTAGTTTTGACCAGAAAGAGAGGGAAAATGAGAAAGCAAGCCACCAGGTTTGGGACTCGAACCGTGGTCAGCCATGCGGGAGTTTCCAGCGCCTTAACCACCATGCCACCTGCTGATCCCCAGGTGCCTCTTTTTAAAGTAACTGTCAAGTAGTAAAATGTGAGCATTAATGTCTAAGCAGTCTCTCTGTCTCTCTGCAGGAAGAAACTCTGCATAAGTCAACCAGCAGCAGCAGTGTGTCTCCCTCCTTCTTGGAAGATCCAGTGCTAGAGGCCATGGCCACAAGGAAAAGTGAGTATTAATGGTACAAAGAACTTGAGTTGAGTACCTGACAAGACACTGCTGGCCTAGCACAGGGGTCCTATACTGCCCTATCATCATCTTGTATACAAAGAATGAACCCTGGTCTCTCACTACTCAGAGCAGGAATACAAGGGATTTTTCTAGGGTGGCATCATAAGGCAGGACCTCAGGTTCTTCTTTTTTAAAGAGGTTTTTGCTGTAGGGTGTGTGCTCTCACCAGAGAGAGGGAGAGATAAAGTGAGAAGAAGAATCCTCAGGTTCTTTTCTTTATTTTTTAAAGAGGTTTTTGCCATAGGACATGTGTATTTACCAGAGAGAGACAGTGAGAAAGAGAGAAATCACCCCCCAGGGATGATGGCCATGCCACGATACCTTCTCCATTTTCCTCTTAGGATCTTGGGCACACATGCACATGCACCTGGCATGAGTTTTAAGCCACCAACTCCAGGACTCAAACCTATGGTCAGCCACGTGGGAGTCCAGCAATGTAACCAGTATGCTATCTGCTGGTCCCAAACCTCAGGTTCTTAACTTATGACAGATCAGGCACACTCGTGTTTATAGGTAATAGTTATGGGAAATAAGTGAACTACATTATGTGTCTGAAACAAACCATTTGTAATCAGTCCCACCAGTCTACTTCTTGCCACACACACACCCATTCCTACATGAATGTTTAGTGAAAACCCCAAAATAGAAAATTTAATGCTAAGCAAATTAAGCCAGACTATGAAAGACAGATATTATATATCCCCATTCAGTATATACTGAATGTTTGCACTCTATGGCAGAAATCAAAAGATTCAAAGATATAATAGTAAGAAGGGCAAGTGTAGACACCAGACACTATGGAGGAGAGAGAGGATTGTATGGAGGAGGAGGGAGGGGCTCAGGGAAAAAAAAACATGTTACAGACACAGGAACATAAAGTCCTCTGTTGAAAATGACATATATGGGGTCAGCCAGTTGCATGATAATTGGGGTGACTGGATTCCACATGGCCAACTTGTAGTTTTGAGTGCCAGACTTGACAACTTGAAAAACATCCCAAGTGTGAGTGCATGAGCGCCCCAAATCCCAAGAACAGAATGGAGGAGAAGGGATTGCGATGTGGTCATCCTCACTTAGGGATGATTTCTCACTCCTCCACTTCCTTTCCCTCTGTCTCTCTCTGGCATGTGCCTGTGCCCTATAGCAAACTAAAAAAAAAAGAAAAAAGAAGAAGATATATATGGTAATATCTTTGATTTGATTACCATGCACTGGGCATGTTTTGAAAAACAATATTGTACAACTATAAAGATGTGCAATCATTAAAGCCAAGTAAATCAAAAAGATTTTTTTAAATAGAAGAAAAAAGACCCTGACAAATAAACATATAAAAAGTAATTTGTGGGACCAGCAGTTGACATAATGGCTACATTTCTGAACTCCCACGTAGTTGACCACAGTTCAAGTCCTGGATCTGGTGCTTAAACTCACGCCGGGCATGTGTGTGTGTGTGCCCAAGATCCCAAGAGGAGAATGGAGAAGGAATTGCAGCGTGGCCACCCCCCCAGGGGGTGATTTCTCACTCTGTCTCTCTGTCTCTCTGTCTCTGTCTTTCTGGAAAGCGCATGCACCCTATAGCAAAAATCTCTTTTTAAAAAAAAAAGTAATTTGTAATTACATTTGACATTTATAAATCTAGAAAAACTGCCACTGACATAGTATGTATTTTTTTTTTAAAGAATTCTTTCTTTATGGGTCTGGCAAGTGGCATGGTGGTTAGGAGTGCTGGACTCCCACATGGTCAACCGCGGTTTGAGTCCTGGACCTGTTGGCTTACTTTTTCACTTTCTGTCTGTCTGTCTGTCTCTCCCTCTCTGTGTATGTGTGTGTGTCTTTCTGGTAAAATTTTTTTTAAAAAGAATTATTTATTTAATTTTATTTGTTATTGTCATGTTTTTTTTAATTTGACCAGAGAGATGGGGGAAGGGAAGGAGGGTGGGAAGTGAGAAAGCAAGCCACCAGGTCCAGGACACGTACCACAGTTGGCCATGTGAGAGTCCAGCACCTTAACAACCGCTATACCACCTGCCAGCCCTGACATAGTATGTACTTTAAAATATTAAAATAAAAAACACTCATTAAAAAAAAAAAACATCATTATAACTCTTCATACAATAGATTCTGAATATAAACATCAAACTTAAGTGATTTCTAAAGACTTATAGTAATCTTTTCCACTTATGACATCATTATAAATGTTTAAAAATTAATTAATTATGAGACCAGCAGATGGTATAGCAATTACGTCGCTGTACTCCCACATGGCCAACTGTGGTTCAAATCCCAGACCTAGTGGCTTGAAAATCCCACCAGGATGAGACCAGAAGATGGCATAATGGTTACATCATTGGACTCCCATGTAGTCAACCGTGGTTAGAGTTCCAGACCTGGCGACTCAAAACTCATGGGGGGAGGGGGACCAGCAGGTGGCATGCCATGGTGGTTAAGGTGTTGGACATCCCACATGACTGACCATGGTTTGAATCCCAGACGTGGTGGCTTGCTTCCTCACTTTCTTTCTCTCTCTCTCTCTCTCTCTCATCAAATTTTAAAAAATGGATGAATAAATAAAATGTTTTTAAAAAGACAAACAAAAAAACTCAAGCAGCATGTGTGTATGCATGCCCAAGATCCCAAGAGGAGAATGGAGGAGAAGAGACTGCGGTGTGGCCGCCACCACCCTCCACCTCCCCCATCGAGGATGATTTCTTGCTTTCTTGTCTCTCCAGCAAGTGCATGTGCCCTATAGCAAAAATCTCTTAAAAAAAAAAAAAAAGAAGAAGAAAGAAAATCACACCGGGTGTGTGTGCCCAATATCCCAGGAGAAGAATGGAAGAAAAGGGATTATAGTATGGCTATTCCCCCTAGGGTGTGATTTCTCACTTTCTGAGTCTGTCTGTCTGTCTGTCTCTCTCTCTCTCTATCTCTATCTCTCTCGGTCCCCCCTCTCTGGTGAGTGCATGTGCCCACAGGCAAAAACCTCCAAAAGAAATGAATGAATTGTATATTGAGATAATCTTAGAACACTGCCTTGATTTCTCCTACTCACAGAAATCTTAGTGGTTCCAGTTCTTTAAATAGTATTTTGATTTCTTAAACAGATTATGTCAGGGCTGGCAGGTGGCATGGTGGTTAAGGGTGCTGGACTCCCACATGATCGGCTGCAGTTCAAGTCCTGGACCTGGCAGCTTGCTTTCTCACTTTCCTCTCTCTCTCTCTGTGTCTCTCCCTGGTCAAAACTTGACAAACAAAGTTAAATAAAATACTTGGAAAAAAAAAAAACAGATTATGTCAAAAAGAGTAGGAGCTGTCTATGGTCATTATCTATACTTGGTATTTGGCCAGGCCCCTTAAATCCCATAATGAATTTCTATTTTTCTGTGTGTGTGTGTGTGTGTGTGTGTGTGTGTGTGTGTGTCTGCAGAAATTATGTTCTTTGTTTTTTGGAGTATTTTTTTGAGAATTATTTGTTTAATTTTATTTATTCATTCATTCATTTTAATTTGACCAAAGAGAGAGAAAGTGAGAAAGCAGGCCACCAGGTTCAGACCTCGAACCATGGTCGGCCATGTGGGAGTGTCCAGCACCTGAACCACCATACCACCTGCTGGTCCTCAATTTTTTGGAGTATTTTTAAGAATTATTTAATTTTATCTTTTTTTAAAATTTGTTATAGGGCATGTGCACTCACCAGAGAGAGAGAGAGAGAGAGAGAGAAAATAAGCTGTCAGTTCCAGTACTCATACATCCATGTGAGAGTCCAGCTTTAACCACCACACCACCTACTGGCCCTGTTCTTTGTTTTTCCTTAGTGATCTGTCTTAATGGGACAGTCCAAGTGGATGAATCATGTTTAACTTTGTGTCGACTCTCGCTCTGTCACCCACTACATTGAAGCAGCCTTAATTTGTTATTAGTATAAGAAGAAATCCTAAATAAAACTCTGGCAGCATAATTTATTTCTAATGTTCTCCTTATGTTTTCAAATGTGAATCCAGACCATTCAGATACTAAAACATTTTCTTTTCAGTGTTCCAAAATACTACTAAGCAGAGGAGAACAATAGCACAGTAATAGTACCAAAGCTAAAATTTATGTTTTGTAGTTTAAATACAGCTTAAGGGCCAGCAGATTGCATAGTGGTTACATCACTGGACTCCCACATGGCCAGCCACAGTTCGAGTCCCAGACCCAGTGGCTTGAAACTCAATGCGAGGTGCGCGTGCATACATGTCTAAGATCCCAGGAGGAAAAGAGAGGAGAAGGGATTGCGGCATGGCCATACCCACTGGGGGATCAGTTCTCCCCTTCCCTCTCTCTGTCTCTGTCTCTTTCTCCTTGCGAGCACACACACTCTAAGGCAAAAATACAAACCTAAAAAAAAGCTTAATTTCAACCTATAGACAAAATGTTTTTATAAATAGAGAGTTTTTATAATTATCTTTTCAAATTGTCTTTTCTGGGACCAGCAGATGGCATAGCAGTTATGTCACTGGACTCGCAAAAGACCAAATGCAGTTCAAGTTCCAGACCCAGTGGCTTCAAACTCACTCCAGGCATGTGTGCGTATATTTCCAAGATCCCAGGAGGAGGACAGAGGAGAAGGGATTGTGGCGTGGCCATCTCCCTGCGGGGTGATTTCTCACTTTCTGTCTTTCTGTCTCTCTCTGTCTCTCTGGTGAGCACATGTGCTCTATAGCAAAAAATCTCTACCCCAAAAAAGAAAAATGCAAGACCAGCCATGGTGGTACAGAGCAGATGAGTGCCACTACATAATTGCTAAAGCTTCACGGGAAGACAAGGTTTGGTTCCTGGCCCAGCCTTAATAGACCAGGCACAGTGATGCGTGCCAGTGGTCCCAGCTAACTGGGACATTGGGCAGGGAGATCGTGATGTGTGTCAGGACCCAGCAGACATGTCCATCTCTTCATCCTGTTCACTCGTTTATGCTTCTACTCCCTCTCTCCCCCATAAAAAAAGAATGTAAAAAGAGAATACGTTTGAGAGTTTTTATATGATTTAAGAGTCTTTTTAGCATCTAAGATTACCTATTTTTATATGTTTTAAAAATAATGCCTGAGATTTTAATTGTAAAAATCTGTGGAGTGTAATATGAGGATATTTGTATGAACAAATTTTTATCTATACTTATATTGTATTGTTATGTGTGAATTTGAAGGGATATACTTACTTTTATTTGTTGTTATTATTTTAATCTGCTATGCTATAGGGCACATGAACTCATGAGGCAGAAAGAGAGAGAAAGTAAGAAAGCAAACTGCCAGGTCTGAAACACAAACCACAGTGAGCCATGTGGGAGTCCGGTGCCTCAACTACCCTGCCACCTCTTAGCCCCCGAAAGAATATTTAAAATATGGAGCATTTTTTTTCTGTCTCCTTGCTATTTCTTTTCTTTTTTTTGGAGAGGGTTTTGCTGTAGGGCGCGTGCGCTCGCCAGACAGACAGAGAGAGACATAGAGACAGAAAGCGAGAAATCACCCCCCAGGGGGGATGGTCACACCGCAATCCCTTCTCCTCCATTCTCCTCGCGGGATCTTGGGCACGCACGCACACGCGCCTGGCGTGAGTTTTAAGCCACCGGGTCCGGGACGCGAACCGCGGTCGACTACGTGGGAGTCCAGCGACATAGCCATTACGCTAACTGCTGGTTCCCTCCTTGCTATTTCTGTAGTAAGTTTACATTGCACACATTCTTCTTTAACAGTCCTCTCTCTTAAAGTATCTCCTCAGTGCAGTAAATACTTCATCCTTGAATGAAGTGTCTAAGCTAAATAACAAGAGTTTCTGTTGGAAAATTCAGAGTCTAATATTTTGATTCTGCAAGAGAGTTCATTTTCTTTGGTTAAATTTTTAGAACCTCCAAAGTTCTTGCCCATTTCATCAACACCACAGCCAGAGAGACGGCAGCCGCCCCAGAGACGACATTCCATTGAGAAGGAAACGCCTACAAACGTGAGGCAGTTTCTACCGCCCTCCAGGCAGAGTTCCCGCTCTCTTGTAAGTACTGCAAAGACTCGAGTCATTAGCTTTCTTTTTTTTCTTTAAATTTTTTAATTAATGTTTTAAATTATTATTTATACATTAAATCACTATATACCATTAGGAAACTCTTTGAAAGGTTAGAATGAACCTAACTTACTCAGTAGCTAAAGACAACAAACTCTAGCCATAACCTAAATGAAATTTGACCAGTTTTGTTCATTCTTTAATACTGTTTTCCCCCACCCCAGAAAACTTATCAATGGTTAAAAATAATTTTAAAATGCTTTTCCTCCCTCTTTTTTTTTTTTTTTTTTTGTCACAGGGTATATATACTTGCTAGAGATAGAGGGAAAGTGAGAAATCACTCCCTGGGGTGATGAGCATGCTGTAATCCCTTCTCCTCCTTTCTCCTCCTGGGATTTTGGGCATGCACACACATCCCTGGAGTGATTTTAAGCCATCCAGTCCAGTTCATAAACCACAGTCAGCCATATAGGAGTCTAACACCTTAACCACCATGCTACATACTGGCCCCATCCTTTCAAATGATATTAATCCATTTAAAAATTATTAAAATCTTATTTAAAAAAAAACTCAGCAAAATCCGACTAAAGTAAATGGTTTATCGAAACAGAAGTACACAGGCAAGGTTAATGTTGATACATTACTAGCCATTGTACATTTTTTTCCTAGTATGCTTTGTACTATTCGGACTCGTTAACAATTTTTGCTGTTTTCAGAGACTTCCAGGTTCTTGTAATGTCTACCTGTGTCTCACAACAGTGGAACAGCACACGAGGCCCCACCAGGAAAGATGAATAGATCCCAAGCCAAATTGGTCTGCAAAGATTCTTTTGCAATCTCACTTGGCTTCAGAATATTCGCAGGCAAGATGTTAGTTTAATCACTACCACAACCTAATAGCTCAAGTTTTTTCAGATACTTACGGATAAAAAACACTAGCATATGCTTAGTCTTTGGGGTGTTTTGGTTTTGTTTTGTTTTCATTTTAGGCCATTATGAATCATCAGTTTCTAATGAAGCAACAAGTGTCCCTCCCTCAGAAAAGAAGGACCTAGCGTGGTTATGGGAAGGCAGAGCATAAGAGTATTGACATTTGATCATGCATCTCCTTCCAAAGTAAAACAGTTAAACAATTGATGATTTTTATGGTCACTTCCAACAGGGTACCTTTAACCCCTAAATAATCACTGAAATCCTGCTATTTGATGAAATGTAGTCTTGTCAGTGGCTTACCAACAGAGAAACAGAGCTCTGACCAGACAGGTTCAGAGTTTAAAATTCAAAGAGTTTTGTTCATGCGAATATGTCATCACTGTACCAAAATATACAGGTATTGTCACAACATGAAAATAAGACTTTTTTCACCAGTCCAGTGATCAGAATATTATGCTCTTCACCCAGCTTTTCTTAGAAACGAGTCTGTCTGTGTTCCTGGTCTTTGTGATCTTAAATCATCGTTATTGGGGTTAGACTTAAATTAAAAAGTAGCGATATAAAGGAACTATCAGAAACTACAAAGTAGTTTCAGCCAATAGTAGAAGTTATGCCAAGACCTTCAGCCCACATCAAGATCCCATGAAGTCTACAAGTCGTATTTCCTGGTGCAGCCGAGCTCTTAGAGAGCTTGTTCAGGCTGGGAGCCTTTCTGGTGGAGAAGGAAGGAGAGCGAGATAAACCAGTTTGCGGTCACTGAGCAGGGTGTCAGTGAACAGGCAGTGCAGCAGCACCTCTGGTCAGTACTGGAGGTGTGCAGGTGCAGCAGGACAGTGTGGAGGACACATGGAGGACAGTGACGGCGCCTTTTGAGACAAAACAAGCATCCAGCTCCTTGCATGGCCTTTTCTTGATAGTAGCCTCTCTTAGGCAATCTATAAAGTCACATTTCTATAGTAGGGTCCTCTTGCTCGGTAAGTACTATTTTTAAAAACCTGGTCATTTGAAAATGTACTACATTTTAGAAAATGAGGAATTATTTTGTCTTTGCAGCCCTTCAAGTGAAACTGGCCAGAATGTTTTTTGTTGTTAATATTTTATTTTTATTGTAAGTCCTTCTCTTTCCTTAGGATATTTAAAATGTAATTTTTTTTTCATCATTTGGGCAAATGAGGTTGATTGTACATTTATATACAAGGTGACCTGTCTTAAAATACCTTCCAGAGGCAGGCACAAAGGGCCACTGGTTTGTATTCCCAGGCGTCCTCGTGCACAGGGAGCAGTGGCCTCTGTCCTGCATCCCAGAGAGCCTCGTTTAGGAGGCTCTGAGCATTCGCGGGACCACCAAGTTACAAAAAAGCCTTACATCTAAGTCTCTGCAGCATGAACTCAGAGATTCTCTAGAACTGACTGCAATTCTCTAGGATCGACTGCTTGGTTGCTTCCTGATTTATAAGTATGGATACGTTGGCATGGCCCATTACCATGCACATAGTATGTTTTGTTTTGTTCTTTCATGATCAATAATTACTATTTGTAGGTCACTCACGTTCAGCATTATTTTCTCCTTTTCTTTTCGCCCTACCATTTTCTTTTTCCCTTATCTATTGTTCAGGTTTCTAGGATAACCCGTGTATGGCCCAGGACGCCTTTCCGACCACTTTTCTCTACCATACAAACAGCTTCTCTGCTCAGCTCTCACCCTTTTGAAGCAGCCGTGTTTGGGGTGGCAGGGGCTATGTATTATCTCTGTGAGAGAGCTCTCACCAGCAGGTGGAGATCCTCAAAGGTTGGCCTCTTTCTGCGGGTTCTGGGAATTATGTTATTCTGCATCTTTTTGACAGTGATTCCTCAACTACTGCACTCTGCAAGAATTAACAGCTTAGATGGGCACTTGGCTTCTGGTCGTTGATTCCAATCTTGCGTGGGCCGCATAGATCACACCCTGATCTCAGATGAGAGGGAAATAACTTTGAAAGGACAACAAACTCAAAATGCAGCATCTGATTGGGAGGGACCTGTGGGTGTTTGTCTCTTCAAGTGGCCTAATTGCATAGCAGGGGCAGTGCCACCTTCACGTGCAGAAGCAGGAGCTCTCCGAGCGCCTGTGTGGTGCTTTTCTGCTGGGGCTCCCCCACCCTCAGAAAGGCATATGCTCATTCATCAGCCGGCAGAGCAGCCTCGGGCCAGGCCAGGTCGTCACAATGGACTCCTGCCTAGGAGGGCGCCTCACTGCCTATTTTCCGCACACTCAACTGTGAGCTCTTAGGGCCGTGTACCCAGAGGATGGGCCACCCCAGGCTTGGGCATCCTGTCTGCCATCCAGCATTTGTTGTAAAGCTGCCTTGGAATGATCAGGCTGTTCATTTTCTGTAGAAAGAAAGTTTAAACTTTCTTTTTATTGACGTGGTTATTTAAAATATTTTAAGTAAATTGGTATTTTAATTTTTTTTCTTTGAGGTTTTTACACAGACAAAGGTATTTTACTTAGATTTTAATTTTATTTTTCTTATTTCACTCTTCACATTTTTAAGTGAAATAAAAAGCCCTAGGATCACATGAAAACCTCTTCTGCCCCCTAGTGTGGCAGGTGCTACTGAGAAGCAGGCATAGGCAGGGCCTGGCCTGCAATGCCCTGTGTTTACCGAACACATCCTTGACAGACGACCCAGCAGCTGGTGTCTTTGTTACTCTGCGTATGTAACCCATCTCAGTGTAGAAACAAGACTCCAAATGTCAGTGAGGTACAATAAATTCCCTTCTCTGTTGTCATGAAGTATGGGATAAATCTCTGTCCCTTTTCCCATTTTTGATCACTGATTGGCTAGCACATGGCCAGGTGCAGGGGTGGCTTTTTCACTCCTGCCACTCTTCCTGGTGCTGATGAAGACCTTCCCACACTTTATTATCAATCCTCCATACAGAGACATCTGTAAACTAAGTCCACACACCACTTCAGGCAAGCTCACTTCGAGTTTTAAAAGAGAGAATAATTAAACTGAACAGTTGCTGTTTTTATTTAGATCTGTCTCCTTTGGGTTTATTAAAAACTCAAAACCAGAGGTTATTTTGGATAATTTTCAAATCTCTGCTACTTATTTATGAAGATTTTGCTAATCAAAACACTATATAAAAGATGACCATCCCCATTTCTCTCGTGGATTATGCTTTCTAATCTCTAAGCTGGCTAACTCAAACCCCTTTTGAATGGTGACGTATCACTAGAATATTCAACAGAAACTCACCAGTTTTAGTAGCATGCATAAAAATAAGTTTTTAAAAGCGTATGTGTTCCTATAGCATATTGTAATCTTCATTAAAACTCTGTAAGATTTAGCCTCACTTCCCTAAATGTGAGAGTCACGTTGAAATGTGGAGAGGCAAGGCAAACAGAGCCGTGCTGGCGTTGCCGCACCCACGGGTCCACACCCAGCCATTCAGGTGAGTGGGGAGCTTGCTCTGGGAGCGCCTGGACGCGGTGTCACACACTGGACAGAGCTTTCACTCCCTGGGACAACCTGGAGTCCTCTTGACTGTTTGGGATGTTAGTACCCAGCAAGATCTAGTAAAGTTGAATTTGGTTTTGGAGGGGGAATACTGAATTTAACATTTTTGTCAGTTAAAAAAACTAAAAGCTATTCTAGTAACTGTTTATCATTCTCTTTCATGTTGCATTAAAATTTTGTTGTCCTTGGGAAAGCTCCAGAATTAAAACAAACATTAGCATTGACCTGATGGAAATTGTTTTACTCAAGGGTAGTCTGCTTGAAATTTAAAAAATAATAATAAAGAAAAAAGAAAGAAAGAAGGAAAGAGAAAGAAAACAAACCCAAAAAATCCATGATTTCTTAACATATTCTATGAAGTATTAGATTTGCATATGGTTCAAAGCAGTAAACTGAAAGTATGCATGGCTAAGCTCTTTCGTGACATAGGATTGAAGACAGCAGAGCTGTGAGGTTGATTATGAGTACTAGTATATCCACGCCATCAAAAAAGAATTCCCATCTACCTGAAATATTTACCAGCCCAAGTATCCTTGGTTGTAATGTTAATTAAATTGGCACTGTTTTATGTCTTCCTGACATGCATGTTAACAAATCTGGTTACCTAGTTATTTTCCATTCAGGTGAGTGGGGAGCTTGCTCTGGGAGCGCCTGGACGCGGTGTCACACACTGGACAGAGCTTTCACTCCCTGGGACAACCTGGAGTCCTCTTGACTGTTTGGGATGTTAGTACCCAGCAAGATCTAGTAAAGTTGAATTTGGTTTTGGAGGGGGAATACTGAATTTAACATTTTTGTCAGTTAAAAAAACTAAAAGCTATTCTAGTAACTGTTTATCATTCTCTTTCATGTTGCATTAAAATTTTGTTGTCCTTGGGAAAGCTCCAGAATTAAAACAAACATTAGCATTGACCTGATGGAAATTGTTTTACTCAAGGGTAGTCTGCTTGAAATTTAAAAAATAATAATAAAGAAAAAAGAAAGAAAGAAGGAAAGAGAAAGAAAACAAACCCAAAAAATCCATGATTTCTTAACATATTCTATGAAGTATTAGATTTGCATATGGTTCAAAGCAGTAAACTGAAAGTATGCATGGCTAAGCTCTTTCGTGACATAGGATTGAAGACAGCAGAGCTGTGAGGTTGATTATGAGTACTAGTATATCCACGCCATCAAAAAAGAATTCCCATCTACCTGAAATATTTACCAGCCCAAGTATCCTTGGTTGTAATGTTAATTAAATTGGCACTGTTTGATGTCTTCCTGACATGCATGGTAACAAATCTGGTTACCTAGTTATTTTCTAGATAACAAATCTAGTAGTGATTATCTGGTTATTTGCTCAGTTCATGTATAATTTTGTTGCAGTTTTGTCACATAGTGAGCCATCAGAAAATGTACCACAGTCATACACATCACTGATGAATAAAAGTAATCCTAGAAAACTTCTGAAATACGGTAAAAGCCGAGGAAGGCCACCATTCAGATGTGTTCAGTCAACACTGCTTACTTCGTGCCCCGCTTTGACAGCCTAACCTTCAGAAAGACAGTTCATTGTTCCCACTTGACCTACCCCTTTCTTAGTGTGGGGCAAAACAAAGTAGATATTGGACATGCCAATTTAATCCCAGCTATTCCCACTGAAAGGGAGACTTGTGTGATGGGTGATTTTTTTCCTCCTTTCATGCGTTATTTTGGGCATTTTAGAGCAAATGATGCAATCATTGTGAACAAACTACCCCTACCCTCTAAATACTAAGCTCCTCATCTTGAAAATTTAGTGGTGAGATTTTTTTCCCAAAGCATTTTTAAGCAAATTTAATCTTCCTTAAATTCGTTTGAACACAGATGATTTTGTGTTGATTTTTAATAAGAAGCAATGATTATTCAAACCACTTTCTTTTTTTTAGTAAATGCTAATGTTGGTCAGGTTTGCAACCTAGATTTATTTTTATTTTTGTCTGATTGAAAGACAGAACTGAGTGTTAAAGCCACATAAACCGACTGCATTCATAGTCATGTGCTTTCTCGTTTGGCTTGTTTGATTCCAGAATGCCGCGAGCCATGCGATTGTGTGTGTGTGGGAGTGAATTATAATGTGTTTGTGCTGAGAACATTCAGTTTCAGTGTCACTGCACCACAATGGCCCCTTGAAGCCGGGCAGGGTCTGAATGCACAAGATCGTTCTGTCTTTCTCTTAGATCGACCAATCAAGCGCGGGGCCGGATGGGGAGCGGATGGGCGTGAGGCTTATTCAGTGGGATCAGTTACATCAACATCTTCCGCAGCTGTTTTTTAGGGAAGCCATTAACATACGACAGCCAACATAAATATTTATTATGAAATTCCTGGGAGTTTCTCCACGCCTCTCCAGTGCTGACTGTGCGTTCAGCGGTTGGCAAACGGCAGGGACAGAAATGTGGGGAAGTGTAGGGCAGCTGGAGAGACTGCCTTCTGGAAGCAGGCTGCTCCAGTAGTTTGGGGTTTCAGTTCCTCTCATGCCATCAGGATTTTTAAAGGGGTGCTGGTGTAACTGATCACTCAGTAATGCTTATCAGTATAAATTACTAACCATCTTCTGTTGGCTATTCTGGGTACCACAAACCGGTTTTCAGAACAGAACCAATATAGTAGCTCTGTCGTTTATTCATACCTGGTGTAGAACACAATGCTAAGGGACATCTCTGCATAATCACATGAGAAAACTGACCTGAAATTGGTTTAGAACAACATTGGTCCTTCAGGATTTCTAGCATAGATACATAGATCTGTTTAATGGAATAGAATTACTTGAGGCAAAATATCTGAACCAACATGAGGAACTTTTATTTATCAGAAATTTCAATAGGCTACCAGGTCCTCAGAAGTTGTCCGTTATCTGTGATGACAGATGATGTGGTCCCCAGAGGAAGCCAACTCTCTCTCAGGTTCATTGGGAAATCTCTTTTCTTCTCTGAAACTACTAACCAGCTGTCTGATCAGAAGGGAAATAGTTGCAATTGCAGAACCACAGGATGGGAGTTTCTCATTCGTATGGCATTTTGAATTTCAGGAGGAATTCTGCTACCCAGTGGAATGCCTCGCTCTTACTGTGGAGGAAGTGATGCATATCCGTCAGGTCCTGGTGAAGGCAGAGCTGGAAAAATACCAACAGTATAAAGATGTCTACACCGCCCTGAAAAAAGGAAAGGTAGAGCTGTTTACCGTTGATTGATCAGCAGGGTAGAGGAATGGCCACTCCCCTGCACGGCTCCCCGGAGCCAGGTGGTGCGGGACTTATAGGGTTCAGGAGGTAAGATGTTCACATGCTCCTGAACAGTCCCAGTCTGTCCACTCAAAAGAGCAGGTACTTGTGGTTCTCTCTCAGAAATCAAGATCGGAAGCAGGTTTAAAAGCAACCATAGTAAGTAATGGTATAAAATCATATATGTGGTGTAAATCCTTCATAAGGTGTGTCTACATTTAGGCTTTACACTTTTAAAGGATCTGTAAAGAACCTTCGCTAGATTGCTTCCATGATGGTGAGATGTTGAGAGCTGTGGCCTTTCATTACCTTTGCAATAGAATTATAGTTAAATACAGAGCCCAATTATTAGTATCATGGAGCCAAATGTATAAACAGAATTTCTGAATTCTGTCCCTTCTCTAGTCTCCCTAAACTTCCCTACTACGTAAATGTAAAGTGTATTCAAACATAAAAGTTAGGAAATTGGCACTGGCATGCTTCTTTTCTCCTCTCAAATTTGTATTTTTTAGCTCTGCTTTTGTTGCCGAACGAGGAGGTTTTCCTTCTTCACTTGGTCTTATACCTGTCAGTTCTGTAAGAGGTAAGGTATTTTGTAATTGATGAAAAGACAGATTTAACAATCATGAAAGAAGTACCAAGTACCTTTGTTCATTTCATCATTTTTCTACATAAGAATAACATTAGAAATAATCTATTCTTTTAAAATGTTATTTATTTTCTTTATTATAGCTTTTTAATTAACCAGGGAGAGAGAGTGGGAAAGTGAGAAGAGAAGGCAAGCCTCTGGGTCTGGAACTCCAACCATGGTCAGCCATGTGGGAATCCAGTGCCTTAACCATCACCCACATGCTGGCCCAGAATTGATTCATTCTGTTCTATTACCTTGTCAGTATCCTTGCAAATTATAATATTAATTTCTTCAAAAGAGTGGACTAAGCAGTTATTTGGTATTAAACCTGGGAAATGTTTCTCTGCATGTTATTCATTTTACATATCCAAGACGATTCTAATAACATATCATGTTTGAACAGAAAAAAAATAAATAAAGATTATCATGTGATCTCTGGATAGACAACTGAAAAAAATCCAAATAGATATAAATTTATCATTTTATAGGAGACCTCGTAAGTAAGGTTTACAGACAGATTGACTTTTTGGCAGTCCACAGTTACAGCGATCTGTTACATTCTGATAGGAGACCCAGAGAGGTTCTGTAATATAGTGTAGAAATTCACAGCTGTGCAGCCATTGAATTCTCTAACTCTCCAGATGCTTCCATTGTTTCATACCAAGTAATTCTTCTGATTTTGTATACAGGCCGGTGTGCTCACAGTGTTGCAAAAAGGTAAGCTAAGCTTGGTTAAGTTATAACTTGTGTTCATTTTAACGACTCTGCCTCTTTAACAGTTCTGCTCATTCTCGTTCTGTTTGGGATGATAGATGCGGCTGCCCTCCAAGCCATACTCCACCCTTCCTATCTTTTCATTGGGACCTTCTGCCTTGCAAAAAGGGGAAAGCTCTGTGAGACCAGAAAAACCCTCCACTAGCCACCACCGGCCACTTCGGGGCATCGCCAGGTGAGCAAAGGGGACTGGGTCTTCAGAGTAACTGTTATGAAAAAAAGAATAGCAGGACCAGCAGGTGGTGTGGTGGTTAAGGCACTGGACACTCCCACATGGCCAACCATGGTTCAAGTCCTGGACCTATGTCGCTCTCTGGTCAAATTAAAAATAAATTAATAAATAAAATTTTAAAAATATATATCATTCCCTTTGAGGACTGTGGCAAGCTAGTAGGGTTTTGGTTTGAGGGATTTTTATTGGTTAATTGGTTTCGATATATTAATAGTTTGTGACATGCAGACAAATCTCCAAAACTTCCCAAAGGTTAGTTTTCAAGAGAAAATGACTAGCTATTTGAAGTATACTTGAATCACATGGTCTTCTACTTTAAAAATAACTATGATTATTGTGTCCTTTAAAAGTCATCTTTAAAACTGATGTTGGGGTCAGCAAATGGCATAATAGTTACATCATTGTACTCCCACATGGCTGACCACGGTTCGAGTCCCGGACCCGGTGACTTGAAACTCACACCAGGTGCGTGTGCGTGCATGCCCAAAATCCCAGAAAGAGAATGGAGGAGAAGAGATTGTTGTGTGGCCATTCCCCCCACCACCACCACCACCACGGGGAGTGTGATTTCTCACTTTCTATCTCTCTTGTCTCTGGCTCTCCAGCAAGCACACATGTCCTATAGCAAAAATCTCTCTTAAAAAAAAAAAAAAACTGATGTTGTTCTCAACAGAGTTAAACTTGCTTGTAACGATCTAACCATTCATCTCTGTTTTTGAAGGAAAGTCTGTTTCATCTATGTTTACAGTGGTCTGCAATAGCATTGACTTATTTTGCTTTTGTAATGGCAGAAATAAAGCCTATGCCAAGAACTGACTATTTAAAAGAAAAAAGAAACTTGCCCGAGTACCAATCCCTTTACATTTAATGTAGGGCAAGGTTAGCGTTGGTGCTTTAAGGAAGATGAAAGGAGGTGTCCAGTTTGAATGACATGTTGGAAATGCCAAGAGAGTTGAGGATTTATGCACCAACCATATGACATGACACTGGACAGTGAGGTGGGAAGCTGTGAGCCAGCATGTAACTGCACTCCCCTCCGAGATACCACCCTCCATGCCCTCAGTGCGATGTCATCAGTGGACTGCACGTGTAACACCTGTTCTTCTCTATACGCTCTGAACCTACTATACATTATTTGTTACTATCTCGTTTGGTTAATTCAAATCGTAAATAAGTAGATGATTCCTAGTTACTTTAAACATTATCAAAAACATTTTTTTTTCTTTTTCTTTCTTTTTTTTTTTTTTTCTTTTGTAGAGGTTTTTTCCTATAGGGTGCGTGTGCTACCCAGAAAGACAGAGAGACAGAAAGCAGGAAATCACCCCCCAGGGGACATGGCCACGCTGCAGTCCCTTCTCCTCCATTCTTCTCTCAGGATCTTGGGCATGCATGCACATGCACCCAGCATGAGTTTAAGCCACCAGGTCTGGGACTTGAACTGCAGTCGACTACATGGGAGTCCAGCGACATAGCCATTATGCTAACTGCTGGTCCCGTATTATTTTTTTCTTTAGAGAGCTTTTTGCTATAGGTCGCATGTACTCACTAGAGACAGAGACAGAAAGCAAGAAATCACTTCCTGGGGGGATAGCTATGCCACAATCCCTTCTCCCCTCAGGGTTTTGGGCATGCACGCACATGTGCCCAGTGTGAGTTTCCAGCCTTCAGGTCTAAGACTCGAACCACAGTCAGCCATGTGGGAGTCTAACAGTGTAAGCATTACAGTATCTCCTGGTCCCATCAGAAACATTTATTATGTTGATCCGTTAACTCTATAACTTCCTGGAATCCAAATAGCCAATCACCCAGATATAGAGAATTGTTGAGGGGGAGACGCATATTTGATAAATACACAAATGACATGAAAAGTAATGGCAGATAATTAATGGTGTGCCATAGGATTAAGCTAAATTTACTTCAGTTTTCTGTATTTTGGCCTACCATCAATAGTTAACTAATATTCGTTGACTGTGACCCAGGGTCACTGGACTCTTAGAGAAAGAACATTAAGTCCTTCTGAATCATCAATAGGACATTAGTAACATGTACTTTATCTCATCTTGGTTCTTAAAATTCACAGTCCATGTATGTATGGTAATCAGGTAAATACCATGAGTACTCTATTTTCTAAAAATTCCAGAAGGGGCAACGGTTTTCAGTATTGTTTCTGAATCAAACATGTTTCTTGTTTTGTTTCCTAAAATATATTTTTGATATATTTGCCTTGTCTCCAATAAGACATTCTTCTTTGAAGGTCAGGACATGATTAAGTCACTCATCCTTCCATGATGCTTTGACAAGTTTACCATTTCATGCACATTTTCTTAGCATTGCAGTAGAACTGTAAGTGACAATGCTGGGTTTTCTGTTTGTTTCTTTTCCCAGGTTCTCTTCAAAGTCTAAGTCTGTAGACAAATCAGATGAAGAACTCCAATTTCCCAAAGAGCTGATGGAGGACTGGAGCACGATGGAGGTGTGCGTAGACTGCAAAAAGTTCATTTCAGAAATCATCAGTTCAAGCCGACGCAGCCTGGTGTTGGCCAACAAAAGAGCCCGATTAAAAAGGAAAACACAGTCTTTCTACATGTCCTCACCAGGCCCCTCGGAATACTGCCCCTCGGAGAGGACTATCAATGAAGTCTGAGCCTCGTGCCTTTCAGTTGCTTTTGTGTTCAGAGTCGGTATCAGTGCTCGGCAACACTGAGCCGCACTGTCTCTCCTTTCCGTGGTTTTCTCTCATAGGCTTGAATTTGCATTAGATCTGATTTTTGCTGCATCACACAGTTCTACGGACTGAATGCTGTGTTCATATCGATTGCTGATACGTGACCGGTCAGCCAGTTGCTCGTTTGCACCAAGAGAGGACAATAGCCTGAAACTTGCTTTAGCGTGTGTGTGGCTTTGGAAGCCAGAAACTTTTTCCTTAGTTCAGTTCTTCACTTGTCCTCCAACAATTTCCTGACTAAGGCAAAAAGCTTCTCACGGGGGAAATCACTGTAGCAGAGGTATCGATGTTAGCACAGTTCTAAGCAGTAAGTCATATTGGCATTTCCACACGACAGTGTTCCTATCTAATGTACATAGAGACCCAGAGCCTGCCACACAACAGGCACCTGTATGCGGGCCAGGCTGTTCGTCGTCTCAGCACAAAACCTGGAAGGATTTGCTGATACTCTCCAACTGATTTTTCAATTAGTGTTGCTCTGAGATAAACATGACACAAGGGACTTCACACTTGCATTCTAGTGCAGAATGTCTGAGTAAGCTGCACCCCCCGCCTGGATCACCATGTCCTCTGAGCCGCCGTGCTTTCCTCGGTGCCAGGGATCAGTGTCTTCTGCACGGGTGACAGGTTTTCATTCCCTACCTTGAATGTATTATGGTCACTAATAGTTTTAATGGAGACCTAAGAATTACAGTTTTGTGGGAGTTTTAGGACACTAAAACTGTCGTGAGGTTGAGTGTATTTGGGCTGACAGCATAGGGTGCCAGCTCTTAGCCACGCTGCAGAAAATGAGCTGGGGCTCATACATTTCCGACTACATTTTTTCATCACTTTATACTGTAGCCATCAGGACTAAATTAAGCCACAATTTGGTACCCAAGGTCTCAAGCTGAACTTTATTTTTATAAATGAATTTTAAAAGAAAAAATATCTAGCTCTTTTAAAATGACAGGAAAATTAACCTGCTGACAGCAAATTTTTTGGATGCTTTTGCACTAACTTTCCGTGTAAGTGACTTGCGTGAGTAGGCTGGGTTTCTGATGAAGGTAGATTGGAGGGTAGCATGGCGTACCTGAAATTTCTCGGCTTGTCTGGCCCATACTTGAGCTGTATTATTTTGCTGTGCTTACAACCAACCAAGCAATCCAACTGCCACTAGTGTTTGGAAAACGAGTCGATGCACATGCACAGTAGTTTCCTGAAAGCCACAGGACACATCTGTAGTCAGCACTATGACAGCACCATTTAATAAAAGGCATGGCAGTCGCATTTCACACCACATCCAAATTTAGTAACATTTCTCTATTAACAGTAATACCTCAGAATTGCTCCGGTGGTAGTTTTTAATGGATTGAAATTTACAATTTAGTAAATGGCTTAAAATACTTATGAAATAAACTTTACCAATTGACTAAAATAATGCATGTTAACAGTTCGTCTGTATTTGCATGTAGAAGTGGGCCACCAGCTAACCTTTGTTGATCATGTGTTTAAATTATTTTAAAGGCTCTTATTTAAGAACTTAAAAAAAAAATACACCGGGTGAATCGCGTTTATGAACTTTTCCAAGAGACTGTCCGAACATCATGGACAGGTCAGCAGGGTCCACCCCCTCCGATGGCCCAGGCTTGAGCTGCTTAAGTGACTCCCAGAGAGGGTGCAAGGGAAAGACATGCTCTCTGTGGGTGTACATAAACCTGCACTAGAATAACATGCTTCTTAAAATAATGACTAGTTACTGGTTTTATTAAAACGTAAGAAACTAAAGGCCCCAACTGAGAATTCCACTCACAAAGCAGATCATCTACTCAATCTCTTACTTCACGTCTTCCGGTTTATGATACAATATAGGATGAACTGGGCGTTATGCGCACCTCTTACCGGAAGAGTAGAATGTAAATTCTTCAACAGCATTAATAGGGTTTGCCAGGTGCATTAAAGAGGTCAACTCTGGCGTGTCCATATGAAACAGTTTGCAGGGAATAGCGGAGAAAGGGCACATGGCACAAATAAAATTTAGGAACCAAATGAACATTAGTGTTGGGTGCCAAAACAGATTCTTGCATTTAACCCCTCTCCCTTATCCACGATGCTTCCCCCACCCCACACTTCAATTAAGGTAGTTTTCAGAGTCATTCACTAAGAGCAGGTGGAACTTGTTTTTAAAATCCTTAGCCTAGACCAACTTGAAGCATAGCTTCCTGTTCCAACTTCTAAAATAACCTCGCTTGGCTATATTCCTTTGTCCTGGTTTTCTAATGTTCCTCTTTTACTTCTAATCCATCAACAAACTGCTATTGCCCGGCCAGAATCAACTGGAGTCTAGTATGTCTTAGAGCATGTGTTGGTATCGTTAACAGTCATCCCTACTCTCATCCCAGCTCCTCCAGGCTTGAGTACCAGTTCCTTCGGTCCCATACCTCACAAAGTCACTCTGTCAGAGAGCTCTGTGCTTCCCTCCCTGTGGCTTACCCTTCTGTCAGTGTCAGAGGTATATAAGAATGCTTGTAAATACTGTAAAATATTTATTAATATTGGAAAGGCATTCATTCAGTGGACAATGGGAAGCAACTCTCCGAAAGCAAGTAAAAATTAAATCAAGTACTTGAACATACGTTGACTTACAATCTTACTAGATTTCAAGTCTTAAGCTTTTCAGATTAAACCAGAAGTTTGTTATTGTAGGAGTTTTAAAAATGATGTTATGTTTGAAGAGATTATGTGATTAGCACCATGAACTCATACCATGAAATTTTTAAGGCTTTTATTTTTCTAACTATATTAATAAATACAGAACTGCATTTTAGGTGTCATATAGGAAATACGAAAGTTTTAAATTAAGTTGCTGTTTGCTAAAGCAAATAAGCAGAAAATTTTGGACATGCAAAACTTTTGCAGGGTCATAAAGAAATGTGTACTACTGACTGGGCTTTGCCCTGGCTTCCGTGTGTGTGAACGTCCAGGTACTGCTGGCATTCAGGGTGACGTGATGGTACTAAGTGTTTTCCATTAAAGTCTTTTATTTTAAAACTTATTTAGGGAAAAATAAAATGAGTTTCCATCAGACCTTCTGTGTTGGGTTCCTGTTGTAAAATGGTGATTTCGTTTGATAACTAGCTGTTAGACTTCACTTAGGTTGGGAAGGATAGATCCTTTATCAGTGACAGCGAACGACAGCTTACAAGGATCACCACAGTCCTGGGACTAGCAGTTGGCATAATGGCTGTGTCGCTGGACTTCCGTGTAGTCGACTGCAGTTCAAGTCCCGGGCCGGTGGCCCGGGCGCCTGTGCGTGCGTGCCCAGGATCCCAAGAGGAGAATGGAGGAGAAGGGATTGTGGCGTGGCCATCCCCCCTGGGGGCTGATTTCTCTCTTTCTGTCTCTCTATCTTTCTGGCGAGCGCTTGTGCCCTATAGCAAAAACCTCCCCCCCCAACAAAAAAAAGTGCCACTCCCGTTACTCTGCTGTGTTACCAAGCAACCATGACTCCTTTCACTGTTTTACCTCAATAGGGTACAATTATATAAAGAGCATGTAACATTTTAGGTTAAAATTATATAAAGAGTATGTAACATTATGTAAGCCACATACTTGGAAGTAATTTTATGTATAGCTAAAGCTTTTTTTAACATTTATTGAAGTATAATTGATAATACAAAAAAAAAAAATCTCACATTTTTAGTGTACACAGTTTGCTGAGTTTAGGACATTTTGTATTTACTTTCTTGGTAGAATTCCTCAATGGATATATTCCTAAAATGTGGACTTAGGAAAGGTCATATTACTTTTTTGTTAACTGCAGTAGAGTACATCATTGACATATCTTAGACATTATGTGATTCTGAGTTTGATTTTTTTCGTTTTAATTTAGCATTTAATGATAATGCCAATTAAGGGTATGCGTGTGTGCTGACCTGAGAGAAACAAGGGAGGGAGGGAGCAAGTAAGGGAAAGTGAGAAGTCACTCCCCTGAGGGATTGGCCACTGTGCAATCCCTGCTACAATCCCTTCTCCACTCTTCTCTCAGAATGTTGGGCATGCACCGGTGCCCAGTGTGTGTCTTTCAAGCCACCAGGTCCAGGACTTGAACTGCATAGTCAGCCATGTGGGATCCAGCTGCCTTAACCATGCCACCTGTTGGCCCTGAGTTTGGTATTAATTCATTTGCACAAGCAGTTCGCTTGCCAGACATTTTTAGGAGCTCCTCCCACTGAGGTTACTGTGTGATATGTTTAAAACAAGTCATTTGTGTATGTCTAACTCATAATCCAAAAATATTCAATGACTTTCCAGGTCAGAGTCCCTGACTGGCGCCTTCTGGATTCCAGAGATACAGGAAAGTTGGATTCATAAATGGGAAAAGCTTCCAGTGATCTTTTATTTTTTTCTTTTTAAAGAGAGAGGTTTTTGCTATAGGGTGAATACACTCACCAGAGAGACACTCAGAGACAGAAAGCAAGAAATCACCCCCCAGGGGGGATGGCCATGCCACAATTTCTTCTCCTCCAGTCTCCTTTCAGGATTTTAGGCACACATGCACACGCGTCCAGCATGAGTTTTAAGCCAGGACTTGAACCGCAGTCAGCCATATGGGAGTCTGGCAACATCATTATTATACCGTCTGCTGATCCCTAGTGATCCTTATTTAGCTATTCTTCCTCAGCCCCAGTTAACAGTCATTATAGTCTACAATTTCATAAAGAGAACTGCTTTTAGGAAAATGTTGATTGCACATATGAAATAAAGACTTTAACTTAGAGCTTTGCAGACTATATATGTAACATCATCATATTACTGATAATGCTCACTAAGACTGATAATGCTTCCCTCATGTCAGTCAAAGTCCGTACATGTCAAAAACATTTCTGCCCATCCAAAAATAGTTTAAGAATCTGCTTAATGTGAAACTCAGCCTACACTAATTAAATATTCCGTTTGAGGAGCCAGTGGGTGGCTTAATGGTTAAGGCACTGAACACCCACATGCCCGACTATGGTTTGAGAGTTCCAGACCTGGTGACTTGAAACTCATGTGTGCATGCACGCCGAAGGTCTTGAGAAAAGAATGGATTGTGGCATGGCAGTTCCCTCTAAGGGGTGATTTCTTGCTTTCTGTCTCCCTATCTCTCTGGCGAAGAGAGACATGCACCCTACAGTGAAAATCTCTCTCAAAAAAAAAAAAAAAAAAACACTCTAGGCACAGGTATGTGTGCCCAGGATCCTGATGAACTGGAGGGTTAGGGGAAGTGTGATGGGCCCTCATCAAGAGTGCTTTTCTCAGGGACCAGCAGTTAGCGTAATGGCTATGTTGCTGGACTCCCATGTAGTCGACTGTGGTTCGAGTCCCCGGTGGCTTAAACTCACGCCGGGCGCATGTGCACGTGTGCCCAAGATCCTGAGAGGAGAATGGAGGAGAAGGGATTGTGGCGTGGCCATTCCCCCAGGGGGTGATTTCCTGCTTTCTGTGTCTCTGTCTCTCTGTCTGTCTGGCGAGCGCACGCGCCCTATAGCAAAACCCTCTCCAAAAAAAAAAAAAGTGCTTTTCTCTCAATCTCTGTCTCGTGTGTGCATGTGCTATCTTGAGTAAAAATAAACTTTTTAAAATGTGTATATGCGATGCACAATTATTTGGAGTAGTTTCCCTGTGGAAACAAAAACATTTTGTAACTCAGCTGCTGACGCTGGTCCACATGGAGCCCATATGATGGAAGCCATGAGGAGAGTTACCAGGAAGGAACTCACAGTGGGCGCCAAGCGCTCCTTCTTGCCCTAGCTGCTCAGTACATCTCGGTGCTCAGATTTCTTTGGGCACCAAGAGGACCAGACGTTCTGAGCCTGCACCTAGCGTGCTCACAGGCCACTGTGATGTGTCTGGCCATCTGTGATTTCCACTGGGTGTGACTACCAAGGGGGCATAGCCCGGAGCAAGCCTGCCCGAATGGGAGTTTGTCTTTGCAGCATTCTCTGCTCCTGCATTCCCTTCGAGCCACAACCTCTGTCTGATTAGCCATTACCCTGTCCCCTTCCTAGGGTGACAGCAGAGAACTCGCTCCCAGCTCCTCCTAGGAGCAGCAGTGCTAAGGAGAACAGAAATGCCAGAGATAACAGGGTTCCTGTGGTGCTAATCTGAACATCCAATGTAAAAAACAGGGAAGCATGGGAGAAGAGAGCAGGTACCTTCACAGCAGTGCAGTTTCTGCAAAGGCAGAGATAGAACCCATTTTTCTTTTTATTTTACCATCTGGTGTACTTGCTGGGGAAAGAGAAAGTGAGAAAGCACGCCCAGGGGGATGGCATGCCTCAGTCCCATCTCCATTCTCTCGGGATTTGGGGCACGCACATGCACCTGGTGTTTCTCTCAAGCCACCAGGTTCGAAACTTGAACTGCAAATTTGACCATGTTGGGATTCAGCCACCTTAACCACCCTGCCACCAGTTGGCCGCAAAAGACGACTTTATTTTTTTTATTTTTTATTTTTTAAGAGATTTTGCTATAGGGCACAGTGTGTGTACTCACTGGAGAGACTGACAGAAAGTGAGAGATCACCCCCTGGGGGGGGGGATGGCCACACCACAGTCTCTTCATTCTCCTCTCTGGATCTCGGGCACTATGCACGCACGCATAGACACACACACTCACCCAGCATGAGTTTAAGTTGCCAGGTCCAGGACACGAACTGTGGTTGACCACATGGGAGTCCAGCGACGTAAACATTATACCATCTGCTGGTCCCAACAGGACATTTTTTTAAAAAGCAAAGATGCTTTCTGGGCTGGCAGGTGGAATGGTAGTTAAAGGCACTGGATTCCCACATGGATGACCACAGTTCCAGTCCCGAATCTGGTGACTTGCATTCTCACTTTTTCTCTCCCTCCCTCCCTCCCTCTCCCTCTCTGGTCAAATTGAAATAAAAGAATAAACAAAGTCAAATAAAATAATTCTTTTAAAAAAATGTGAAGATACTTTGATCTTGGACACTTCGGAGGGGGGAAAAACACCTACAAATTCAGCTTCTCCACTCAGCAAGGATTCACTACTTGAATAAGGTAAAAAGCCTCGTGGGTCACTGGGCCGCAGTTTCAAGGCTTCATAAGTCAGATGCACTGAATATGTAAACTTGGGCGCTCTGGGTGTAACTGACTGGACACTCCCACTTCAGCTGAAAATGTACCTCCCGGTGTAGCCAGTAGCCACGGTGGCCTCCCTAGAGTAAGAACCAACCTCTCTTCCAGAGTGGTCAGAGTGGTGGTCACTAGCAAAAAAAGACTTTTTCAGCACCCAGGAATGCTCATTGATGATAACCAAAAAACACTAGCCTATAATTAAAAAGTAGATATTAGGGGTCGGCAGGTGGCGTGGTGGTTAAGGGTGCTGGATTCCCACATGGCCATCCACAGTTTGCATCCCAGACCTGGCAGCTTGCCTTCTCAATTTCTCTCTCTCTCTTTTTCTCTCTCTCTCGCTCTGTCTCTCTCTGGTCAAATTTTAAAACAAGTAAATAAATACCATAATTCTTAAAAAAAAAAAAAAAAGATATTTGGGACCAGCAGATGACATAATGGTTACATCACTGGACTCCCATGGAGTTGACCACAGTTCAAATCTTGTACCTGGTGGCTAAATGCTCAGACTGGGCACGAGAGCATGTATGTTCAAAATCCCAGAAGGATCACTGGGGTGGGGGATGATTATTCACTGTCTGTCTCTTTGTCTCTCTGGCAAGTGCACATGCCCTGTAGCAACAACCTCTCCTTTTAAAAAAAAAAAAAAAGAAAAGAAAAGAAAAGAAAAATAGATTCTGGAACCAGCTGTTGATGTAATGGCTATGTCGCTGGACTCGCATGTAGTCAACCGCAGTTCGAGTCCTGGACCTGGTGGCTTAAACTCATGCCAGGTGCGTGTGCGTGCGTGCCCAAGATACCGAGAGGAGAATGGAAGAGAAGGGATTGTGGTGTGACCATCCCCTCTGGGGGGTGGGGGGGTGATTTCTCGCTTTCTGTCTCTCTGTCTTTCTGGTGAGCACATGCACCCTACAGCAAAAACCTCTCCAAAAGAAAA